CTCTCTCTCTCTCTCTCTCTCTCTCTCTCTCTCTCTCTCTCTCTGCGTGTCTCTGTGTCTCTCCGTCTGTCTCTCCGTCTGTCTCTCTCTTTTGGCTTGCTAGTCTACCTTTTGGGCACACATGTGCAGAGATTGCAGTGGGCGGTTGAAGATTGTGGTTAGACCACCAGTTTGCACGAGCCTAAGTCGAAGAAGCTGCCTTCCAAGGCTCGCGAGCCTGCATGCAGCTGCGCCTTTTCAAAGCGGCCTGCCACTCTTGCTGCTGGCCCAGACCTGAATTAAAAATCTCTTACCACGTAAACCGATAAGAGCTGTACTCTGCTTCGAATCAACTGGCGGTTCAAGTATCTTGGGGCCTGATTGCCATGGAAGATGAGCTCTGCGCATAGCTCTTTCTGGTTACGTTTATCGTAAATAATGTCGGCAATGGGCAAAGCAGATAACGCATCCAAGGAGCAGAATGGAGAGAGTGAATCGTATGGCGAGGTGCCGGACAGGTGGCACTCAGTGGCGAACCTTGGGGGATTCCCTTCATGGCCTGCGTTCGTCCATGTGGCGCTTGTGGTCGTCGCCGTCTGGTTTGCAGGAGTTTTTCAATATAATCTCATTGTGGTTATGGGTATCGCAGTGCTTTATCTTCGACAGGTCGGTGTCTTCGCGCACATCAGCTAATCATAATGGTTCGCTTTTGGAAACCAAGCGTGCATTTTCCCCTGAAAGAGAAACAATCTGGAAAATATCAAATGAAAGATTTTTTTTTTTTTTTTTTTTTGAATGAAAGAAAGAATATTAAACTCATCATGTTTTGTGTTTGGAAAAAAAGGAAAAAGAAGGAAAAGAGTTCAAAAGCCATCTTTCCACAAATGTGGTTTTGTGATTTTCTTTTTCTCTTCATGAGCCTGCATCTGTAACTGTAAGTGAAATTGATCATTTTTATGTTTTTATTATGAAGTTATGAACTCCATTTTGAGTCTATTATCTTTTTTTTTAATGTAAAATTTGAGTATTTGATATTGTAAGTTGTTGTAACATTTTGACAATTTGAAATGTTCTATGTGTTGGGGATTGCGTGATGCTCTCTATTTTGTGTGTGTGTGTGTGTGTGAGAGAGAGAGAGAGAGGG